CTCTCTCTCTCTCTCTCTCTCTCTCTCTCTCTCTCTCTCTCTCTCTCTCTCTCTCTCTCTCTCTCTCTCTCTCTCTCTCTCTCTCACTAACCTAGGTCGTCACCCTGGGTACCTTGGCTGCTATGGCCGCCGTCCTCCTGCTCTACCTCTAGCCTAGGTATGGAGTATCGCACAAGCGCCCTCTTCTTCTTCAGGCGCACAGTGCCCAAGTTGCCTTGACGCACAAGCAGCAGCAGCGCTACTGCATCTCGCAACTGAACAAGTGATGAGCCACTGCACTGTAGTAGCTAAATATAGGACTTGGCGTGGCTTGGCCTGCTTCAGATTGGTACCAGTTGGCCGCGGCCTGTCTGCTGCAAACATTTTGTCCGTCCGGTAGCTTCCTGACTTTTCTGGGACATACTGCAAAATTGGACTTGGGACTGTCGGACCGGACTGGGCTCTTCGGACTTTTGTTGTCGGGTACTGGACGGACTCCTAACGACCTATGACGCTTCGGCACCGACACCTACCGACCTACCACGTTTTGGACCCACCATGTTTTGGACCCCTAGACCCTACGGCCTACCCTACTGGACCGCCCTGGGACACATGAATCCTTTCATCCATTCAATTCCATTGTTTATTTTACTCATTTGACCCAGCAAGTTCACGAATCTGGAAATCCTGTTCACAAAAATGCGGAACCAATACTGCGATACCAATGGGCGTAGCTCAGTTGTGTACATCAAATGAACTGTTGGCATACATACCGAACTTGGAATCCAGTTGCAATCAGACGAACAGAAGAAAATTATTCTGAATAAGAAAAAAACACCAGTATCGAGCTATGCTGGCGCATTTTGCTCGCTCATCTAAATTTGGCACATGCGTGAATGGTGGAGATTTTTCGAATTGGTGAGATGCGGTTTTCACGACCGTGAGCATGTGAATCAACTTTGCAGAATATGAAGTTGAATCTTGTGAACTTTGCAGTGTAGCGCCATTATGTTAGGGGGCGACGTGCATCATTTACAGGTAGGACTAACCAGAGCTCATAGAGCAATGAAGCACATACGCTATTTGGGTGAGACATTGCATCATCACCTGCTGGGTTTCTGCCATAGTGTCATCGCTTTGCCACTGCACGATATACATGACATGGAATACTCTGCACAAGCCATCGCTCACATTGCTCACAAGCTCCTGCTGTATAGCCTCATTGCCTGTTGCACGATGCACACAACAATTATAGCTGGAGCGCCAAAGCAGTACTCTGCAGAATGCCACGCTGTCTACAGTAGTACAACAGGATTGACGATGCACAATGCAGGGAGATCATGCCCCTTTGACTCAGCACCTTCACACATTAGGAACTGCTTTTCATGGATATGAATTACAGTATCATGTACTATCAACAGCAAATGGTGTGGTTTCATGGACTCGGCAATTCGTTGCATGGTACAGGTGCTTGAGAAGAAGGTTTGGAGATGACCAAGCCATGAGGAGGTGCCAGGTTGATGGTCTCATAGTGGGCTAGGTAGGGAAACAGCTTTGGCAGTTAAGCGACTAGAGAGTTGCAAAGCGAAGTTGGTTATCCCATCCCGTATAATGGGAATTTTTTTCGGTGAAATTGACATGCACAAACTCGTTTCACTTTTTTTTTCTTCTTTTTTTTAAGAACAACACAAGGCCCCTTCTATTCTGGGGCCTAACAGTCCGGTTGCTTATCACCGGCAAGCAGGGCTGTGTCGTCAACCGGCCGGTTGGACCGGACCGGTCCCAACTGGGCCGGTTGGACCCCAGGTGCCGGCCCAAAAGTGGGTCAATTTTTGTATTTTTTTTGTTTTGTTTTGAAAACATGGTTGGACTGTGTACCTTTCCGCTCGAATTCAGAGAGCTGCCAGCTCCAAGATTGTATCATGAGTTCAAATCCCATGGGGAGGTGGTGGGGGGGTGGGTGTTCGGCTGTCGCCGAGATCTTCCCGATGCCGTCTTCCTATGTTCTCTCTCTCTCTCTCTCTCTCTCTCTCTCTCTCTCTCTCTCTCT